CCAGGGGTTCCAGTCTCTGGGAGGCACTGGGGATGCTGTGCCTGCATCTTAGGAGGTCTTCTCACTTCTGCACTCCATGTCCACAGTTCACTCCCTCAGCTCTCACCTTGATACCTAGCGTCACCCCAAATGCACAGTCTCATCTCTTCACCCAGCCCCCACCCATCTACATTTCTCACCTGTCCCCTCCTTCCTATCCACAGCCTTACCTCTGACTGTGCCCAGCACCCCACTAGCCACATTTGTCATCTCCGGCTCACTCGGCTTCATTACAGCAACCGACAAACAGCTCTCTTGGTCAGCCACCAACGCGGGCTTTTTTTTATCCAAACAGAGGACAACACACTCGCTGCATTGCCTCTTTTGTACAGCATCAGTCTGTAAGGAAACATGGCCAGCAGGTGGTGTCAGCACCTCTGAATCCGGCCATAATTTCTGGCAATCCACTATGTACAATGGCATTCGAGTGTATAAACACAAAGACCAATTGGTCCTGGAGGTTTACATGTTACCTAGCAATGTAATGAGGCATGTAGTCCATGCTCCATGGCTGTATGCGGGCATGCGCATATTCACTCAGGCAAGCCTCCCAACATCACCATAGCAACATCTTACATCACAGCGGCCGTCGGATATAGACCACTAGAGGAGCAACAGGACACATGGACACTCATCCACACGTTATTTCCACTCATCATATGTGAGAAGGTGAGTGGAAATTTTTAGGCCTATATATATATATATATATATATATATATATATATCCATCCATCCATACATACATACATACATACACACACACACACACACACACACACTTAAAGAGATAAACTGTAAACTTCTGAAATGAAAAATGAACAGAGCATCTCTCTCTTCCCTCTGCTATCTGAGCGCTGAGCAAACTGTTGGCGCTATATAAATCCTGTATAATAATAATAATCTGCATATCACCTCCGACTGGTTATGTACGAATCCCAGGGTCTTACCCCCTCCCCCCCACACCCCGCCCAGCACACACAGGTTGATTGAGAGCCCCAGATTTCCATGTTTCTCTTATAAGACTGCATGTCATTTCCCTCCATTTAGTCTCAGATCACAGTCAGCTCCATGTTGTATGATTTGCAATGTGTTAGGGCTCCTGTATACGGGACGTTTGGAAAGCACTTCTGAACAATGGAAACTGACTGCTGGAAAACGTAGGTTAAAAAATATCTGTTTAGCTGCGTTTGCATACCGCGTTTATGTGCATTTGCGTTTAGAAGCATTTTTTGAAGATTACATCAGGAGATCTTCCAAAATGCCCAGAATGCACTGAAAAACAGTACAAAATTAACTTTTTCAGACATTTTGAGAGAAGTAGAGAGCGCAAAAGCAGAAAGAGCAGTATGTGTTGAGATTACCTATCTTTTTTTGGTTGAATTTTCTATGGATCCCATCATGAGCATAATGCGGCACGTTCTACCATTTTTTCCTTCACGCAAAATCTGGAACTGACTGCGCTGGTGTGCTAGGTCCATTTGAATACATGGAAAACGCTTTGCATGCATTTCTGATGATGAAAAAAGACTCTGGACAGTATTTGGATATGGAACAGTTAAAAAATGCTTCTAAATGCAAATGCTTATAAATGCGGTTAGTTGCGTTTACACGTGTTTACAAGCATTTGGCGTTTGAAATGCTGATAAAATCTACTTCTGAACGCAAGTTTGGTGCGTTCAAAAAAACGGCTGTAAACTTAACTGCCTGTAAACGACTGTAAATGACTATGTATACATGGGCATTAGGGAGAGTTCAGTGGCTGCTGAAAAAATGCAGAAAAGCTCCTGAACGTGAGTTTATCAGCTGCAGTGTACATGAGCCCCTTACATGAGATCTCTGCCCCCTGCCTGTTGTGACATAGGCATTGATCGGTTTGTGACAACCATTTTAAAGCACTAACCATAAAATCTGACCAGTAACTGTCTTCCAACTCCCTACAGCACATTCTAGTTTAGCATAACAAGGTTCATTTTAGTGTCACACATTAGTAACAGTGAACACAATGTAATAAAAATAATATCCTTGCTGTTGAAGCATTTGCGTTTTTAGTTAAAACATACAGTATATTGTATTGCTATATTCTAAAGTTTGCTCCTAACTTTTGTGGTTGACGGAAAATAAATCCACTTCCAAGTCAGGAGAGTCAACAAACTGAGATTTTTTTCTACTCTCCTCAATATATGCATGCAGATTTCTGGTCTCCCAAGAATCATATAATTCATGAATCACTATTGCCGAAATTGCATGATTCACTGTAGATGAGATGAATTTTCTTGCAGATATTCAAGTGAATTCCATGGTCAGTATTCTTAATCTTGCAGTTCTCTTTTGGTTTTCAACATGATTATAAAGCAAACTGCAGACAGCAGTTAACAGCTTGTCATTTATAGCAGATCAATAGACAATGCTATGTGACCATATTTTAAAGGTTGGATTCAACTCTGAAATAATTTAATTTTGACTGAAATATGACTTCAGATTGTTTTGTAAAGAAATCCTCATTGATTATACCATTAAAAAAAATTAGGAAGTGTGAAAATTTACAGTAGGCACATATTAGTAATTGTTAATCTTCCAATCAAATGCTCCTTGTATACTTGGCAAGAGGTAGACTTTATTGTTATTCACTAAGCTTGCATCACAAAATATAATATTCTGCAGATGGGTGCACTGGGATGCAAAACTTGAATCTGATTATGTAAAATGTATAATTTTGAATAATGCCTAAAATGTATGCTGTATTTTTATCCAAACGTTAATTTGTAAATTAAAAATGTATTGACATTAAATTACTATAGGAATGTACAGTTGCACAATTAAACTTGGTGCTTTTTAGGACACAGTTTAGAAAAGGCAGATACACACTATGCAGATTTCAAAGATCAAAAACTATGAAAGAAAATTTAGGACCGCAGTCATTAACAAAGAAACAAAATAGAATTATGGAGGATTTAAATTATATGTAAGCCAAAAACTAAAATATCATGTACTGTAAGTTTTAGCATGCAAGTGTAATTTCAAAAGTCATTTTCAATATTTTTAAACCAGCAGCTTCATCAAAAGAATAATGAGTGATCCTGCCTGAAAGTTCTTGTTTAGGCTTTTCCTGGTAGAATGTGACAATACTAACTTCTATCGGTTGTGCTGTTGCATTACCACTCAATCGCATGGGCTTTCCATGGACACTACAAACAGCCTTTTTAACATGCAGTACACTACACAGCTATGCTCAGTTGTTGTCACCACCCTGGAAACCAACCCTGAGAATTATCATTCAGCTTTTGCTGCAAAGCATGCACATACACAGAAATTGGTTGCCAAGAAGCTGCAGAAGATCAGGTTTTGTAAAAGAAAAATGTTTATAATACTCAATGCTTTATCAAACTATGATTTATGTGGTTCAATTAGGGAGATATCCCCATCACCTCTATATATGTATGTTAGCAGTCACCAACACAGACAGCAATAAAGAAATCACAACAACCTCTATAAATATGTTTAGAAGAGAATAATTACAAAGTAAAAGTATATATTATATAAACTAGGGTAACAAAAGGTTCAGCATATCTGATTGTTCTAAAACCTTGTCTTCACAGTAAAAAGGTTTTTTTTTAAAGACAGTTGCAAATTAAGACCTCCCTTAAACATAAACTCATTAAGAATCTGCAGAAGTTGCACACATATAATTTACAAGAATTAGGAAAGAAATTCATTTTCTGTTATTTTTGAACATCTTATCAGCCCTACCAGGACACATAGCCGGCTGTGTTTTGCTATACAATATTAGGAGATTTACTGCACAACAAAACCTTCCAAGGACATTAGAACAAAATATTTCAAGTAAATCAGAGTAAAAGATATTCTAGCAAGAGAACATGCTATGTAAAGAATTCTAACATTTCTAACAATAACATTTAAGCACGTAATAATTTAATTTAATCATTAGTTAATAATTCTTTACTTTTATTTTTCTTTATCAATAACTAGATTTTATGTTTTAACTTTTCGGTCTAGGAAGGTAGCAAGTTATATAGCAGAGTGAAACAAATTTTATTTTTCTCAAATGTAATCATGTTTTCTTTAATTACTTTTCAGGTTTTAACCACATTTGTTGCACCTGACATATTATGCAATTCAATATACAGTGGCATATATATATATATATATATATATATATATATATATATATATATAATATCAATGTGCACTGCTAATAAAAATGTGTGTTATAATCAATGATGACCAATGTGATAGTAAAAGAGAAAGGAAACATCATAAAAAAGAAATAGAGAATAGTAAATACTCTAATGAAGAAACAAAATGGACGGTATAACAAATAAATGAAAATATAAGTCCTCTAAATATTATAATAGTCCCAAAAATAGTGATGTGATCAAATCAACAAAATGTAGTGGCTCCTGAGACTTCCGCACTGCACCTCCACCATAATGCACTCACCAGAAGTAAGTAGCAAGCAAGCCCAGAGCGGAATGACACTAAGGGGTGTTCCTGCTTGTTGCTCCTGCCGGTGACCCGGTTGAAGGTGGGATCTCTCCAGAAGCCAGTGGTACACCAAATGAACAATCAAAAGTAGAGTAGCCAAGTCTCCATCTCCTGCCCACGGTGAACCAAGGAAAGGGATTCCTCCTAGAGGGCAAGCTCATAGACCGAGCCCGGAGACAGTATCATATAGTGTTGTATGTTTTATTAACCACTAGCCTACAGGGCACTTATACCCCCTTCCTGCCCAGGCCAATTTCCAGCTTTCAGCGCTGTCGCACTTTGAATGACAACTGCGTGGTCATACAACATTGTACCCATATGAAATTTTTATCATTTTTTTGTGACAGATAGAGCTTTCTTTTGGTGGTATTTAATCACCTCGGGGTTTTTTATTTTTTCTTAAACAAATCAAAAACCGCTAACAATTTTGAAAAAAAAAAGTTTTTTCTTAGTTTTTGTTATAAAATTTTGTAAATAAGTGATTTTTCTCCTTCACTGATATGCGCTAATGAGGCTGCAGTGGTGGGCACTGATAGGCTGAACTGATGGACACTGATAGGTGGCACTGATGGGCACTGATGAGGAGGCACTGGTAGGTGGCACTGATGGGCATTGACAGGCATCACTGATGGGCACTGAAAGGCAGCACTGATACATGGCACTGATATATGGCACTGATAGGCGGCACTGACTTACACTGATAGGTGGCATTGACTGGCACTGATAGGCGGCACTGACTGGCACTGTTAGGCGGCACTGACTGCCACTGATAGGTGGCACTGATTGGCAGCACTGATAGGTGGCACTGATTGGCATTGATAGGTGGCACTGACTGGCACAGATGGGTGACACTGAAAGGCAGCTCAGATGGGCACTGATATGTGGCATTGATGTGCACTGGTATGCACTGATATGTGGCATTGATGTGGCACTGATGAGCACTGGCACAAGGCACTAATGAGCACTGACACATGGCACTGATGGATACTGACAGGTGGCACTGCTGGGGCTACACTGATCATCAGGGCACACTGATCATCAGTGCCCTGATGATCAGTGTACATGCCCCCTCTGCGGAAAGCCGATTACCGGCTCTCCTCTCCTATCGAGCTGTCAGCATGACAGCTTGAGAGGAGACAAATGCCGATAACCGGCACTTCCCTGTTTACATGCGATCAGCTGTGATTGGACACAGCTGATCACATGACCGAGCCGACTTCTTCGGCTCTTTCTGTGATCGGTGATCCGCTGAGTCCGATCGCCGCGCTGCCTGCTCCCTGAGCTGCGCATGCGCAGTGAGAATGGGAGGACGTCATATGACGTCCTCCCAGAAACGAGAGAACCACCTTGCACCGTCATTGGACTATATGGTGAGCGGGAGGTGGTTAAAAAGATAGCAACCATGTGGAGCATAAAATCATCAATGGATAAAAAGCACTTACAAAGATGGCCTCCGGACCATCACGTGGACACGGAGGCATGACATCAGCACATAGGCTCCTCCCTGATATGTTTCGCGCACACGGACATTCTCAAAGGGATCCACCTAGATATATATATATATATTTTTTTTTTATTATTATTTATTTGCTCTGTTATCGTATCCCAAAATAATTTCAATAAGTTACCTATGTGTATATATTTGTGTATAATTACCTTTGCCAAAAATAATTTCATATTCTACATTAAAGTGTTACTAAATTCACAACAGTAAAACCAGTCTGTATATGCAGTACAGCATGCTTGTTATACTCACTGTAGGATCTAAGGGGTTAATCCTCTGTATTGTGTAAAAATATTGCTTGATCCTGTCTTCTCTGAGTCTTCCCTTCTTCTACTCTCCCCCATCTGCTGAGAGAACAGAGCCTTGGGGGCAAGCTGCACATGCTCATTTTGGTGTGTAATGCTAGAGGTTTTTTTTCTTGGGAAAGGGCATGTGATCAGCACAGGGCCAATCAGCGCTGTACAGACAGAGGGTCATAGGTCCTGCAGCCTCATAGGACAATCAGGGGAGAATGAAAACACATCCTACAAGCTTTAACCAATGCTCTGCTGCATTCTGATAGAGGTCACAAGACTGCTCTAACTGCTAATAAGAAAAGGTATTTAGCAATTTATATGTACTAAAACAATTGCATTACCATGGTCTGTGTACTGTGGGAGACCAGATATAGTGAATGCAGGGTCCTGGGCTTAGTAACACTTTAGCACACTCAACAATGTACCAATGAGCATATTTACTGTTGGTCACTTAGCATAGCAAATTACAGAGGTACAATATAAGGATGTGAGATAAACTGTATATTTAGTTTCAGATGTTATACTTTTAAAGGATAAGCTCACCTTTCAACAAAAAATAATAAATGCACATTTTTTTGCAGGTAAAAAAATGTGCATTTATTATTTTTTGTTTAAGATCCTGTAAAGCATTGCACCAGCGATCAGCAGATCACTGCAGTCTCTTGCAGACCTGCCAGTGTATCGGCTTTCTTGTACCTTGTACGGGGAAGCCGATACTTACTGACAGGAAGACTCAATGAACTACCACAGCGCTCACACTGCCATAGTAGTTCATTGAGAACTACAAGCCAACAGCTGCAAAGGCTGCTGGGACTTGTATTTTTCTCATTCACAGAGCACTGTGAATGAGTGACATGCAGGGGCGGACTGACCATTTGGAAACTTGGGCACTGCCCGAGGGCCCGGGGTCAGTAGGGGGCCCCATGAGATGCCCCTGGTACCTTTTTCATTTTCATAGGCTTTTTTTAGTTTGGGCAAGGACACAGGGGCCCCATGATCCCCTATTGCCCGGGGGCCCCATGAGTTGTCAGTCTGCCCCTGGTGACATGGCCGGGTGGGTGGAGCCCTGCACAGCCACATTTTAAAAAAAATTGTGACAGCTAGTGGGAGGAGAAGATCCCCGCTAGCTGTCACAATGGGGGGTAGGGGGCTGGCCCACTCATAACATGTTACATGTTACACCCTGAATATGGGTGTAACATGTTATGAAAGGGTAATACCTCGATATGCTCACCCTATAGCTAAAGAAAACAAGTGCTAAACTAATTAAACTATGTATAACGTTATAAATCAATTGAATCAAGTAATATATACATATAATAATATAAACGCAGTGTAAAAAAAAAAATGTATATAAACGCAGTGTCCAAAAATAAATATTACAAACGCAGTGTCCAAAATACCAAGGTATAAATCAATTGAATCAAATACATATGATCCTTATGAGTAAGTCCCTGAGATGAAACATGTCAAGGAAGTGACATCAGACACAACAAAGGAACTGGAAGTGGCAAATCGGCCATTTTGGAAATTGGAAAATCTGACCCAGATGCTTCTGCTAGCTGCTGAGACTCTGCAAGAGGTTTGGCATGTAGTGTTATCTTATCCAGACACTTCTGCTATCTGTTAAGACTGTGCATGGGGTTTTTGGATTAAGAGATCTTATCCAGATGCCCTGGTCTACTGCTGAGACTCTGCATTAAGGTTTGAAGATAAGAAATCATATCCAGATGCTTCTGATAGCTGCTGAGCTCTGCAAGATGTTTGGGTTATGAGAGCTATGGTGCTATGTATCTGTTTTTATAAGTAAGAGCATAATAAAGTGTTATTTATTTATACCATACGGAATTACACTATATATCCTTTTTATATATGATGGGTACTGTTGCAATCGTGCACACCAGAGGCAGACACGGCCCTCCATTTTGTCAAGAAATCTCCATGTTGTCCCTCATTCTCCTCCCTCCCTCTCTGAGAGCCACAGTGACATCTGGTTGGTGTGGGTATTGGAAGTGTAGCAGGCAGGCCAGAGCCCAGCAGGGAGCCCTGAGGTGCCTGGTTGTCTGAGAGAGCTGTGCAATATAACACCTCATAAAAGATAACACAAGCCTTCCCAGGAGTTCAAACACATTCCAAGGAAGCACACGACCAGATAACACTTTTAAAATCCATTTTTCCCCTATGTCTTATATCTTGTAATATGAGAGACTTACATAAAAACCAGGCATATATTCAAATTGGCCACGAGGAGACAAACAGTTTGATAGGTCACTCTCCTTGGCTGGAATACATAGGAAAACAGAAAAGTAGATCTCTTGAACCATTCAGTGTATAATTTCATATTTCATATCTAATCATTCCTCAGATGTGTCTGCATAATAATCTACCCGCGGGTGGAATGTCACTTGTGCATATGGAAAGTTATGAGCCAAAATATGAACTAGAAGAGATTTTGGCTCTAGTTTAGGCCTACGCCCAGACGATCCCATCCTAAACGGGGTATTGGTCCTTGACTTCAGAGACACCCCCTGCTGGGGAAATACAAAATGGGTTGTCAGGCCTAAGAAAGGGAAGTTGAGGAATTCTCCCGTTTAACATCAGAACCAACTTGGGAGATCCATGCCCTTTCTCTCTGAAACTTGATCTGCTAACCCAGGACTTTGGCAAGTACTTTAACCCTCTAACTTCTCTCTGTTATCCCTTTGCTGTGCTGTTGTTCTCTGTCTATTTATATATATATATTGGTTACATCTTTTTTCTGTAAATATTTTTATTGCACCCTTTTTGACCTTTTAGTAATAAATCTTTCCTTTTGGAAGTGTTGAACTGTTTCTATAGCGCTTTATTGCAATTTACGAATTCCTGCCTCTAAAAGAGCGCTACTGTGTTTTTTTAACCCTCTGTATAACCGGCCTGTGGTGACCGTGTTATACAGATGATTATCTCAACCATTATAGTGTTATAGCTGATATCGCCGAGTTTCCTCATTCTCTGTACAAAAAGGAGGTGGTGGCAGTGTGAAGGGTTAATTAACCTGACCCAGTAACAATCGCTCCCAGGCTGCTGGTACATAGATTGTGGTCCAATTAGCTGGAAAATCGTTGTGCAGGGTGCAGCTGGGCGTGGCATTGTTACGCATGTTACATCGCGGTTTTAGACTGGCCAGTCCTTCGGTCACGAGTTTAGTGAGAAGGTCAGGGGTCTGACGCCGCGTTCGCCACAGGTACTATGAATACTATGGAGTAATCCTGCTCAAGGTCCTGATGACAGCTAGGAGCTTTATCCATGAGGCTCTAAGGACATCTCAATGAACATATCCAGGCTGGATTAGCTTTCCTTGGATGGTGTATACCCTTAGTGGTATTAAAGTGCTGTTTCTTTTGCCATCTGGTAAGAGTATTCAGTCATTACACTATAGAAGTGTGCACTACTACTAGCACTTTGATTTTTTGATTTGTTGGATCACAAGAGTGTTTCACTAGCACGTTTTTTCACGTTGAGCATTTGATTTACATATATGGTCAAGTTTGATGTGGAGTGACACTTATGTTGTATATGATTGTACATTATTGTTTTAAGGATAATACACTATTTATTTTATTTTCTTTGAGGATCACTTTGGAGTTTGGAGTCTCTTTGGGAAAGTGTCTGCAGAAAGGACTCGGATTTGCATCTTTAGTGTGTGACTTTAATATTTTTGGACACTTGGTATTTTGGACACTGCGTTTATAATATTTATTTTTGGTCACTGCGTTTATATTATTAATTTTTGAACGTTGCGTTTATATTATTATATGTACTTGATTCAATTGATTTATACCTTGGTATTTTGGACACTGCATTTGTAATATTTATTTTTGGACACTGTGATTTATATAAAAAATGTTTTTTTTACACTGCGTTTATATTATTATATGTACTTGATTCAATTGATTTATAGCTTTATACATAGTTTATTTAGTTTAGCAATTGTTTGCTTTGGCCATAGGGTGAGCATATTGAGGTATTATCATTTATTACACTTTCAAGGGTGAAAGTAAGACTTATATACTTTCAGGTTTATATGTTTATTTGAGATACCATTTTGATTCGGATTCTATGTTATGAAAGGGGAACTTATCCTTTAAACTGGTGTCCTGGAATGTAGACAGGTGCCATTCCAGGATTAAGAGATTTTTGATTATTAATATTTACAATCTATGAACTACATAATATTCTACTGCAGGAGACTCATCTCCAGGGCTCCAGGGTTATGGCACTAAAAAGCCCAACATAGCTCAAGCCTACAATGTTATGTATTCTAGCGGAAATTCAGCCTTGGTTACTAAGACTTTGAATGCTCATATGTATACAATTAAAACAGATCATCAAGGGAGATAAGTAATTTTTGTACTTACAATTCATTACATCTCATTCAGTATAGTGATGGTGTACATATCACTTTCATTCTTCAGCTCATAATCAGACACAGTTCTTACCATTGCCTTGCCAACAGCAGACTGCTACTTTCAGGGGATTTTAATACTGTTCTGGATATTTCATTTGATAAGCATGGTAACATGTCAAGGGACACCACTTCACTTCCTCCATGGCTTTCTACCTATAAATATGTGGATGAGTGGCAGTGGAAATATTGTAAGGCGAAGGTTTGTTCCTGCCAGTTTAGAAAACCAACAACACTATCCCAAACCGATACTGTGTTGTCCACCATTGATAGTTTAAAGCTGATAGGTGATGTGCAGAACTTGCCAAGAGCAATATCAGATCATTCTCCAAATGAGGTGTGTTTTGATTTAGGCCTTGGATCAGGTATAAAAATACTGACTAATGAAAGCAAGACATTTCTCTGCTATCAAAAATTATCAGTTAGGGGGCGCATGCGCGGCCAGGGACGATGGCGGCCGCACATTAAGTGAGCTCCGCTCATCCCCGGCCAGTACAGACTCACCCGACAGCCGCTTCCGCTCCTCTTCAGCTGCAGGTGAGTCACCCGTACTCCACACCCGACCCGGCACCTGAGAGGAGGCTTGATGGGGAAGATAGGGCACTGGAGGCCCCCCTCCCCGCAATCACGTGACCCGCGGCCCTCGCCGCTCCGGAGGTTTCTCTCCAGGCCGCAATCCCCAGTCTCCAGTATGGCTGGGAGCCCAGGGAGGGATGGTGGTCACGGCCGGTACTGCACCCACAGACACTCCAGCCTCTGCCCTGACTGAATCTCTGCTGGAGGACTATGAGCCCCAGCATGCTACTGGGGGGGCTGCGGGGCACTCTGCCTCAGGGAAACATCCTCCCTCCACCCAGACAACTCAACAGGCCACCCAGTCACCTTCCCTCACATTGTCAGCGTTGGATGACAAGCTTCAAAATTTTTTGCGCAACATTACCGCGTCCATATCTGCTGAGGTTGGAAAGCTGGCCTTGGATCTCAGAGGGGAAATTGCCCAGATTGGAGAGCGCACGGAAAGACTGGAAAATGAGTTTGATGATCTGGTACAATACGTCCACGTGCTGGAAGAGGATAACGCTTATCTGAAGCACTCCATATCCCAAATGCAGCTCCAGCAAGAGGATCTGGAAAACAGGGAACGGCGCCAAATTATCCGTATTCGCGGTATGTCCGAGTCTATTGCAGATGCACAGTTGCACCGTCATCTTCTGTCCTTCTTTACCGCGACTGCCCCCTTGGTTCCAGAAGCAGATTGGCGTATGGATAGGGCTCACCGCTCCTTGGGCCCAAAACCTGCTGAAGGCACCAGACCTCGCGACGTTATTGTTCGCTTTCATTTTTTCCAAAGCAAAGAAGCTCTACTTTCTGCTGTTCATCACAAATCATCTCTGGAATTTCAGGGGGACAGACTCCAACTCTTCTGTGACCTGTCCCCGATTACACTGGCTAAGCGACGAGACCTGAAACCGATCACCACACACCTTCAGCAACACCGTGTCCCTTACCGCTGGGGGTTTCCCTTTCGGCTGATTGTAACCAGGGACAATACCCAAGTTGTGCTCCGTGATCTTCATGAGGTGGACTCCTTCTTAAAACGCCTGGGACTTCCACCTCTGTCTGAAGATGTATCCCCACTGTCAGGAATGGACTTGCCAGTAATGGTGGTTTTCCTGGGCCCTGTATCTTGTTACCTGCATCCCTGTTCCTGTTCCTGTTCCTGTCCCTGTCTGACTGATTCGTTGCTGACCCTGCCTGATCCGGACCTCTGCTGACTTCTCCTGTTTCATACCTGGCTTGTGACCCCGACCATTCTCTGCCTGACCCCCTGTACCTACCTGCCCGATTGTTATTGACCCGGCCTGCCTGACGACGCTTGCATTGTATGTACTGTTATCTGTGGGTGGTTTTGGTTTGGTTCGTTTGCACTGTGTTATGTTTTAGTATTGCACTGCGTTTATGTTTGTATTGTTAGTCTTTAATAAATTATATTGTTTATAACTTATCTGAAGCCTGCTTTTCCCTGCGTCAGTCACATACCTCTGGTCACACCCCGGAGCCCTGACATTACACCAAGGCCAATCCTGACCAGAAGTGGCTGCACAGGGAAGCCATCTTGGCTTGTTGCTGGGAAGGATGGATCTGGATGAGGTTGTGTATTTATCTCTGCTAGTGTTTGATGACAGAGAATATGCTTATCAGACTCTGAAGGAGTATCCCAGGGATCAACTACTAGAGTGTATACGGATCGCTCATGTTCTAGTAGATCAGGGCACAGAATTCTCTGAGGTGCAGCCATTGATTCAGGTTTGTGCTGAGTTGGTTTCATCTGGTACCCCCGAATGCAGGGATGAATTTTTGCCGCCATTTAGTGCCGACCAGGTAGAGTCCCTGGTATGGTTATTAGAGGATGATGTGGATTACTTTCTGGAGCGTTATTCTGCATGTTCACCACAGATACTAAGAGATTGTATAAATGCAGTGCAGTCATTGACCAGACAGGCTTTGTGTAAACTGAGCTTTGTTCAACCCATACTGCAGACATGGTCAGACTTGTTGCACCCAGCCTCAGTCAGCTTACAACATCATTCCTCCACTCAAGGCACTCTTCCTGCATCCCCGACAGCACCCCCAGTGACTGCCCAGTATACTCTAACTACCACATACCAGTCCTCTGCTCCCACTCGCTGCACCTATCCTTTCTTTAACCCTGTAAAGAAGTCCTCTATAGCAACTGCTCCCTCCTCTGTTCCATCTTCCAGCTCTTCTCTGTCCTCAGCTGCTCCATTCGTTTGCAGACCTGCGTTTACTTGCAGTGCCCCAGTAGTTAAAACCAGAAAAAAGCGGAAATTCTTTCCAACCAGTACCATCCTGCCAGTATCCAAACCGGTGAGCCTACCGTCTGAGAACCTGCCTTCCGTGGTTCAGCCTGGTGCCTCGGCACCCGCACTTCAGCCTGATGTCTGTACCCAGCCTGATGTCTGTACCCAGCCTGATGTCTGTACCCAGCCTGATGAACTGATCCAGCCTGATGATCCTATCACGCCTGATGACCCAGTGCCCGCTGTCGAGCCAGACGTTCCGGTACCTGATGACCCGGTGCCCATTGTCATGCCTGGTGACCTGATGCCCGCTGTCGAGCCAGACGATCCAATGCCTGATGACCCAGTGCCCGCGGTCATACCTGGTGACCCGATGCCCGCTGTCGAGCCAGACGATCCAATGCCTGATGACCCAGTGCCTGCTGTCATGCCTGGTGACCCGATGCCCGCTGTCGAGCCAGACGATCCAGCGCCAGATGACCCGGTGCCCGCTGTCGTGCCAATTGACTCAGAGTCCACTGTTGTGCCTGGTGACTCGGTGCCCACTGCCTTGCCAGATGACGCGGTGCCCGCTGTCGAGCCAAATGACCTGATGCCTGGTGACCCGATGCCCGCTGTCGAGCCAGACGATTTAATGTCTGACCCAGTGCCCGCGGTCATGCCTGGTGACTCGGAGCCCACTGTCATACCTGGTGACCCGATGCCCGCTGTCGAGCCAGACAATCCAATGCCTGATGACCCAGTGCCTGCTGTCATGCCTGGTGACCCGATGCCCGCTGTCGAGCCAGACGATCCAATGCCTGATGACCCATGCCCGCCGAGCGGTCATGCCTGATGACCCAGTGACCCGTCATGCCTGTCCGTCCGCTGTCGAGCCAGACGATCCAGCGCCAGACGATCCGGTACCTGATGACCCGGTGCCCGCTGTCGTGTCAATTGACTCAGAGCCCACTGTCATGCCTGGTGACTCGGTGCCCACTGCATTGCCAGATGACGCGGTGCCCGCTGTCGAGCCAAATGACCTGATGCCTAGTGACCCAATGCCCGCTGTCCAGCCAGACGATCCAATGTCTGACCCAGTGCCCGCGGTCATGCCAGTTGACTCGGAGCCCACTGTCGTGCCTGGTGACTCGGTGCCCACTGCCTTGCCAGATGACGCGGTGCCCACTGGCGAGCCAAATGACCTGATGCCTGGTGACCCGATGCCCGTTGTCGTGCCTGATGACCCGGTGCCCACCGCTCCGCCTGGGGGCCCGGTGTCTGCCGCTCCGCCTGGGGGCCCGGCGCCTGCCGCCCTGCCTGGGGGCTCGATGCCTGTCCACTCCGCCTGGGGACCCGATGCCTGCCGCCCCTCCTGGGGGATCGCGCCCGCCCGCCCCGCCTGGGGGCCCGGCGCCCTTTGCCCCGCCTGGGGGCCCGGGCCTGTCGCCCCGCCTGGGGGCCCGACGCCTGTCGCCCCGCCTGGGGGCCCGGCGCCTGTCGCCCCTCCTGGGGGCCCGGTGCCTGTCGCCCCTCCGCCTGGGGGGCCCGATGCCTGTCGCCCCTCCTGGGGGCCCGGTGCCTGTCGCCCCCGCCTGGGGGCCCGATGCCTGTCGCCCTCCTGGGGGCCCGATGCCTGTCCGCCCGCCTGGGGGCCCGATGCCTGTCGCCCCTGTCCCGGGGGCCCGATGCCTGTCGCCCCTCCTGGGGGCCCGGCGCCCGCCGCCCCTCCTGGGGGCCCCCGCCGCGCCCCCCGCCGCCCCGCCCCTGGGGGCCCGATGCTCGTCGCCCCGCCTGGGGGCCCGGTGCCTGTCGCCCCGCCTGGGGGCCCGGTGCCTGTCACCCCTCCTGGGGGCCCGGTGCCCCCCGCTCCACCTGGGGGCCCAATGCCTGTCGCTCCGCCTGGTGGCCCGGTGCCTGCTGCTCCGCCGGGGAGCCCAGCGCCCGCCGCTCCGCCTGGGGGCCCGCTGCCGCCGCCTGGTGGGGGCCCGGTGCCTGCTGCTCCGCCTGGTGATCCGGTGTCCAGCTCGATGTGCCTCTGCCTGGAGTCCAGCTCGATGTGCCTCTGCCCGGAGTCCAGCTCGATGTGCCCTGCCCGGAGTCCTGCCCGATGTGCCGCTGCCCGGAGTCCTGCCCGATGTGCCGCTGCCCGGAGTCCTGCCCGATGTGCCGCTGCCCGGAGTCCTGCCCGATGTGCCTCTGCCCGGAGTCCAGCTCGATGTGCCTCTGCCCGGAGTCCAGCCACTCGATGTGCCCTGCCCGATGTGCCCGCTGCCCGGAGTCCTGCCCGATGTGCCGCTGCTGCCCGGAGTCCTGCCCGGTGTGCCGCTGCCCGGAGTCCAGCCCGATGTGCCGCTGCCCGGAGTCCTGCCCGATGTGCCAGTCTTTGATATCCCGCCAGTTACCAGACCCGGGCGGTGGAACATTTTGCCCAGCTAGGACTGTTTGGAGCGTCCTGAGGCCGCTCCTTGAGGGGGGGGGGGTACTGTCAGGAATGGACTTGCCAGTAATGGTGGTTTTCCTGGGCCCTGTATCTTGTTACCTGCATCCCTGATCCTGTTCCTGTTCCTGTTCCTGTCCCTGTCTGACTGATTCGTTGCTGACCCTGCCTGATCCGGACCTCTGCTGACTTCTCCTGTTTCATACCTGGCTTGTGACCCCGACCATTCTCTGCCTGACCCCCTGTACCTACCTGCCCGATTGTTATTGACCCGGCCTGCCTGACGACGCTTGCATTGTATGTACTATTATCTGTGGGTGGTTTGGTTTGGTTCGTTTGCACTGTGTTATGTTTTAGTATTGCACTGCGTTTATGTTTGTATTGTTAGTCTTTAATAAATTATATTGTTTATAACTTATCTGAAGCCTGCGTTTCCCTGCGTCAGTCACATACCTCTGGTCACACCCCGGAGCCCTGACACCCACTGCCACCAACTCTGTCTCGTCCATCCGCCACCTCCCACAAGATCTGGACCCCAGTTCGCAGAGGTCGGAAGAGACTTTCCGTACCCCACAACGTCCGTGTCTTCCTCGGTCAACTGATCCACCTGCTTGATGATTCTCTGGGGCGCCCTTCTGAATCCGGTGATGAATGTTCCCTCCTGGGTTTTTGGTTCTTTTTGTCTCTACATAATTTTCCCACAGGTTTCCCTTATCTTTCCGGCCAAATTGTCGGGTGTTTTTTTTTCATTTTTGATTGTTTTTTTTTTCTGGCCGGGCTTGACGACCTTTCCGATGTCCTGGTTGTCGTGCTGCTCCCGACTTTGTCTAGTCATAGGCCTAGACGACTTGGGTCACATTGTTACCCCGAGTTTATATCCTTGCAGATACTTACTAGTGTTAGTTCTCTGTTTTTGGTTTTTTATACTATTACCTTGCACTGTACTGTGTTATTCAACTGTTTTATGTTTTTTGTGTTTTTTCACTATATTACATCGATGGTATTCCATTCATTTTTCATGCTATTACATGTAGGTCAGTTGTCGTTGTTTCATAATGGCGTTGAGGTTTCTGTCATATAACGTCAAGGGCCTCAACTCCATTCAAAAATGGTGGATGGCTTTGAGGGAATTCCGATCCTCTGGAGCAGACATTATTTTTGTCCAAGAAACCCATTTTAAATCGACTGGCTCTTTTCGTTTTGCCTCGAGATTTTTTTCCCAAGCCTACTCGGCCTTTAATCCTTCTGGGAAGGCCGGGGTGGCAATCCTTATTGGGTCACACTGCTCCCTTCGGGTTGTTTCCTCCAAGGTTGACCGTCAGGGTCGTTTTATTATTTTAGAGTGTATGCATGGCAAAACTCCCTTGTTCTGTTGAATTTATATGCTCCCAATACAGGTCAACTGCAATTCCTATCCCAAACGCTCGCTAATCTAGACTCTATTACTACCTCACAGGTGATTGTAGGGGCAGATTTCATTCTATGGGAAATTGTATAACTGCTTGACCCCAGACCTTCACCCTTCTCTCACACAACCTACGTTTGATCATTTTTTTGACCCCTTGCTACTTCCGAGAGTATCACCCTCAGACATTGATGCTCTTAATGCGGACATTACGCTAGAGGAATTATTGGATACAATTAAACACCTCCCTTCTCGTAAAGCCCCGGGACCGGACGGACTGCCTTACTCCTACTATAAAACTTTTATTGGTATTCTGGCCCCTCATCTCCTCTCCTTTTACCGAGATCTTTTTAAGGGAATCATACCCCAGACTGACTTCTCCCGTGCATATATCTCGGTTATTCCTAAGCCTGATAAGGATCACTCTATCGTAGATAACTATCGCCCTATTGCCCTACTTAATTCCGATTATAAGATTTTTACTAAAATCTTGGCCAATCAACTATCCGGTATTATTTCAAAGCTCATACACAGAGATCAGGTGGGCTTTGTACCTGCCAGACAGGCTGCAGATAACACCAGGAGATCTATTGATCTGGTTGATCTGGTCAACCGTTCCTCTACCCCTGCTGTGTTATTGAGTTTGTATGCCCAAAAAAGCCTTTGACCGTTTAAGCTGGCCTTACATGTTCATGGTTTTGGAGAGATTTGGTTTTAGGGGTTCATTTGTAGCAGCTTTGAAGGCCCTTTATTCATCCCCTTTCTCACAGGTCAGATTAGCTTCCTTTCTCTCACCCCCCTTTCAGATGTCAAATGGCACTCGTCAGGGCTGTCCACTCTCTCCCCTGCTGTTCATTCTCTGTCTGGAGCCATTGGCTATTGCCATCAGGTCAAATCCGGATATCCGGGGGATACAATCCCATTCGCATGAGTACAAATTATCGTTATTTGCAGATGACATCCTCCTCACACTTACGAGTCCCCACACCTCTTTACCGATTTTGCACAAAACTTTGAAACAATTTGGGGCTTTATCAGGCTATAAGGTCAACAAGTCCAAAACTGAGGCACTTCCAATACATGTTTCTCCTGTTGTTCTTTCCTCCCTTCAGGCAGCCTTTCCCTACCGGTGGTGCACCCACTCTTTTAAAATATTTAGTCACCAACCTTACTTCCTCTTAACAATCCATATACGAGGCCAATTTTCCCCCACTGTTTATAGCAATTTCTCGCTCCCTGAAACACTGGGATGCCTTGCCTATCTCTTTCCTCGGTCGTATTAATGTCTTAAAAATGACCGTGCTACCCAAAGTTTTATATCTGTTTGCAACCCTCCCTGTACCGTTCCTATGTCCAAGCTTCACTCCCTTCAGAAATCTTTCTTACATTTTATTTGGCACAAACAGGCAGCACAGGATTGCTCGTTCTGTTCTGCTTTCCCCACGTTCTAGGGGAGGCTTGGGAGCACCGGATATAATAACATACTATTTTGCAACCCACCTTCGCTTTCTTATGTCATGGTCCATTCACTACCCTCCCAATACATGGACTGAGATCGAGTCTTTACAATTGTCCCCAGTTCACCTGTGTTCCCTTCTCTGGTCGACCTCGGCGGTGGATGTCCTTTCTTTTCGCCACTTACTCCTAGGCCCCATGCTTTTTTCATTGACTGTTTGGCAGAAATGTAAGGCTAAATTCACATTGGCTTCTCAATGCTCCCCACTGACAAATATCCTTTATAACCCTAATCTTCCAGACAATATGGCCATGTCCCAGATGTCTCTCTGGGTAGTATCTAACCTTTTTCAACTACGTCACTTGGTACACCCGGTGACTCGTAAGTTACATTCATTCTCGGATCTCCAGAGGAAAGCCTCTCTACCCTCTCGTCATCTATATATATATACCTTAAAATACGC